TTCAGCAGGTTCATATGGGATTCCACCGTGCAATTATCAATTAGTCAAGTTTCCAGGATAATTTTCCCTTCCCTTGATCTTGTCTTCTTTTATCCTTACTTTGATTTAAATGATTTTTTTTTAAATGATGATGCAATTTCCTTAGTTATGAATAAATTATCTCTAATATCTCAGTAAATTATAGCAGTAAATGATTGGAATAAGCAAGTCAGTGTCTGTATCTGAGTAATACAGAGAGGCTAATGGATATGAGTTTTAAAAACCATCATCTATATAAGGCTCAGTGGACTGCATCCACTACGTGCTGATTTCAGGCAAAACTGCAGCCAGAATCCCACCCCTAAAAGTGCCTTCTCAATCTCTGCAGAAGCTCTGTGATGCAAGGACACTAACATGCCAATAAAAGGATCCTTTTTCATTTCAGGTGTCTTCTAGAAACATGGCTGGCCAACACATCCTTCCTCAAGCTTTGTATCAGAGCAATATGCTGAAAGCCATGAAGATTAGAGAGAGGACACCTGAAGATCTGGTCAAATCTCCCAGTGGAGTAATTCACCACTTCAGGACTATGCACAGATATACCATAGAAATGTTCAGAATGTGCCAGTTTTGTCCTCAGTTTCGGGAGACACTTCAGAAGGCCCTGACTGACCAGGCCACCCAGACTTCGCTGGAGCGCCAGAGGAAACTCAACTGGTGCATGGAAGTTCGGAGACTTGTCCCTTTGAAGACTAATGGTAAGTTACAAGCAGGTCTTTGCACTTGCACTAAAATGGGTAATACGAATGTAGCACTTTTATTAATAGCGTCCGAGTTCACGTTACTGAAACAGAAGCACACTGCTTGAAAAAAGTAGTGCCTTTTAATCTTACTTTTGTAAACTAAAATTCTTTCCACATGATGTACTGTCCTGAGGCTGTAGCAGTCCCCTGCATGTATCACAGTATTAGGAATAGCTGGAAGATTTCACAGATGTTTTCATAATATCAGTAACCTGTGGCATGTCGGAGCGAAATACCAGGCAGGAACCTTGACTTGCGACCCATCACCTTCCCGTGAATCCAGCTCTGCTGTGTGTTGGCTGCCTGGTCGGAAGTGCTGAATGGCCCTTAATGCCAGGCAAGAGGAGACTTCAGATGCTTTGGGTGACGGGGATACATTCCCATGTATATTTAGCAGAAGTTAATATCCTGCTGTAAGCCCTGCTGTTGTAGCTGGCATGCAAGGTTCACTTGCTGATCCAGCTTTAACAGCGGTGCCAGTGGGAGCATCCTGGACCTGGAGCCTCTGGGAACCTGACCTTGCTGGACTGGGAGTCGGCACCCTGCCCCCAACCAGCTGCCTCAGCCTCAGCTACGTGCTGGGGTTTGCCAGCTCTTGCCTTCCTCAGGGCTCACCAGTACCGTCCCATGTGCCTGACTGGCACACTCTGTGCAACACAAAGTTTGCAATGCTTTTTTCTTTCAAGGGTCAGTGCTGGTTTTGGGGCTTGGCTTTTGGGTTACTTGATGTATTGCATCAGGTGCTGTAAATTAAAAGCTACAGCAGTAGTGCAGTGATTTCCTGAATAGGGTACATGTGTCCACAGTCTGGAGCAGGAAACTTTTGCACATGACTCCAAGAGTCGCTGGGCATTTCACATTCAGTGGAGGAAAGATTTGGTAATGGCCATGACTGATAGTCACACAGCTGCAAACTTGGGACTCAGGATACCCTACAGCACAGATTGCCCCAAACCGGGAAGGTAGACTGGGACGATGAGGACCCCAAGAACATGGAAAATACATGTTCTTTGCTCAAAGAGCAGATGACACTGGCTATGGAAACACTGGATATGGTGGACCTGTTGCCTCACTGAAGTCCTTACATTATGTTCTGTGGATGCTTCTTTTCATATCTGTTTATATACACATTATCCTTATCTTTCTAGTCCACATTCTTCCCATTGCATGTTCTACCATACTTAGCAGTCTGATTGCACACAGCTGTGTTGTGCAAAAGCCATAAAACCAGAACTGCCATAGAGGCACTGACCTTTTGGTGGGCTTTTGCATGTGAGTAAAATTCTCATGAATTTTAGGCTTTTCTCATGTAATTAGGCTTTCTGTGGAGATCATGTAGTCTTGAACTTCTAGAAGGACTGGAGTTGCAGCCAGGGCAGGCAGCGCTTTGCGGGTACTAGAAAGGTAACAGCATTCCAAGTGTTGTGTCTTCAAAGCATCACCCCAGGAGATACACTCTAAGAGATGTACTAGGAAAATGGACAATGTGCTTAATTTTTGTCCAGGACAAAGATCAGCAGTTTTGGAATCCCCCATCTGCTGTTAATACAAGTCCTGCAGGGGTTAACGCTGCCTAGACAGGCTCTTATTGCTGACAACACTGTATTCCATAACTGTGAGGTCTTGTGTTGTCTCATGACTTGCCAGCCAGTGTTACAAATGGGAACAGTGTGGATTAGTGACTTGGGTCCCATCCATGAGCAGGTGTACCAATATACAAGATGCTGAAATAGTAGAGCAGGTTGGGAAGGCAAAGCAAGGGCTGGATCGGTCTGTGGTCCCCCTATCCCACACAGCCTATGAACTCAGCTTCAGTTCAGTGCTTTAGGGTCATTAAGTGCATGAGTAGAAGGAGTGGCTTTGGGAACCTGTGGTTTATGCAAAGGAGTCGCAGTGGGGGACCTTTTCAGGAGAGAGAAAGTAGACTAGCCTGCAGGAGAGGATCCCTGAAAGAAGGGATAGAAGCGTGGAGAAGCCTTGTATTATCCTAGAAAATAACATGGGTTTTTTTCTCCCATGTGGCATGAAGAATACTTTAAAAAGCATTTAGCTACTTAACCCATAGATGTGGGAGGACTATACTAGTTCTTTCAATCAACAGTGGGCTTTCTTGAGAAAATTTGGGGATTTTTTCTAATGAAGGTTTTAATTGTTGAAAACAGAGAAAGTATTTCCTGTCGGATCTTTGATGTGTATTTTACCTAATATGTACATGAGTTTGTGGAGTAGCGGTTTGTTGGTTTGGGTTTGTTTTTTTTTTTTTTAATTAAAAAAAGCCCTTTTGAATCACCACATATTTCTTTGTAGACATGTGAATGGAGGATAGAAGAAAAGCAGTAGGAGGCATAAAAACGGAAACTGTTGGTTTTTTGGGGTTTTTTTTAAATAAAAAATTAAAATTCCAGCATCTATTGGCTGTAGAGATTTCACTTGTATAATGAATCGGCATTCATTCCAGCTTGCCCAGCCACACCCCCCGGGAAAGTCCGAGGGAGGCTTCGCTGCTCAGCCCTGCACACCGCAGAACAAAAAGTACAACTGTTGCTCAATGGCAAGTCAAACGGCGCGGGGGAATTCCAAGTGCTGTGTAAGGAATTTTGGGCAGCGCTTCTCAATAAAGAACTGAAAGTGAGCTCTCAGAGAGAGAGAGAGAGAGAGAAAAATCTTATCTTTGCTCTAGATTTTGCAAAGGGAAAATTTTAATGGGATTAATATGTCATCCTTCTTGGTCAGAAGGAAACCCAGTCAGTTTTTCTGTTTTATATGTTGTTCCTTGATTTTTGAGCTCAAGTAAGCAGCCTGCAGACTTGAAGCAAGCTTTGCAAGACAGCTTTCAGAAACCAGAGGGCAGTTGCAGGAACCTGATATGCACCGAGTCCATAACAATTTGTGTTCAGCAGATATCAAATTATATCTTTTTCAGGATCTGGTGTCTGTTGTAGGTTTCTCTGCAGTCTCATAGAGAAAGTGTTCACAAGTGGTGTGCTTGAACTCGTAATGCATGTAGGAAACTTGGTTTAAGTCTTCTGTGGGGATTCTTTGAGTGTTTTTTTTTTCCCTCCATGATAAAAATCTAGTAGCTTTACCATCTGTTTCAAGGAAATTTTTTATTAGCATTCAGTGAATCTCTTCTACTGTAGTAAACACCGGACCTAGTTTTGAATCTAAGGATATGACAGTAATGATTCTTGGTGTCCCCCTTTCAGGGGAGACATCCTCTTTTGAAGAACATGGCTGGAGATAGAATTTGAAACTCAGACAGAGGCATAGTTTGTCACACCTTTTAATTAAGTTAGTTAACTTCTCTGATTCTCAGTTTTTTCCCCTCTGAAATTGCAGAACATCTCTTTCCTTCCTACCTGTAGACTGAAGATGACTTTTTCAAAATATGGAGTGTGTCTAAATGAAAACCAAACCGATATGTTTTTCATTAATTTAGTTTTAATTTTGTATTGTAGAAAAACAACCCTCTGAATAGAATACTTAACAGCCCAGCATACTATCAGTTCTGAGAGGAAGGCAAGAGGTGTTCCTACAATTGCTTTGCATGAATCACCTACTCCTCCCTTTCTGTCTCTTTTTGTATTACAATTCCTCCATCAAGCACAGCCAGGTGCCAAGCCTTTCAATGTCCCCAGTGTTCCTCAGGGCACATGAGGCTTGGTGTTACTATAGTGTATTCTTAGCAATTTCCATTATCTCTACCCTGTGCCATCAGGTGTACTTGTATAAACACTGATAAGGGAGGTTTACACATTCTTTTGTAATTTTAAGTTGACTTTGTCCTGTTTAAAAGCTATTTCAACTGTTTGACATTTGCAGTTGACTCGAAAATTTATTTAATTATATCAAAGTTAAGTGAGATAGATAAGGGGCAGGCTTCCCACCACTGCTGAATGACAGCTTAACACCAACCAGTGAAGGGACAAAACCAGTAGAGAAGGGACTTTCTTCCTTTTTTCCTCTGAGCAGAGAGCCCGTAGCTGTGGTCTTCTTGTTAAAACCCTTCTGTCAGAGGCCTAGGGAGAAGAGCACAGGGCATATGGATATGGACAGGGTAATTCTACATGCCACGTGCTCGTGGGGTTTTTAGTAGCCATTTCAAAACAATGTACTCTTTCTTTTTTTTCAGGTGATGGAAATTGCCTCCTGCACGCTGCATCACAGTACATGTGGGGTATTGAAGATACCGACCTTGTCTTAAGGAAAACATTGTTTAGTGCACTCAGGGAGATCGACACACGGAACATCAAGCTCCGCTGGCAGCAGGAGGCTATTAAATCCCAGGAGTTTGTAGAAACGGGACTTCACTATGACACCCGGGTAAGGTGGCCTGAGGGAATGGTGTTTTCTGAGCACTCATCAGTGTTGCCTTGCAGATTTCATTTGCTTTTTGGCTTCATGGATTCCGCTGTTAGTGGAGAGCAGAAATAGTCTTCCTTTGGAGGAAATGGGAAAATGCGATTATGTTGAGTACTGCTGTGCTGCAGTTGGTTCCTGACCTCTGTGTCTTTGAACTGTTGCTGACGAATGTTTCTTTCCTCAGAACTGGGAGGAGGAGTGGGAATACCTCGTTGAAATGACCTCCCCAGAAACATCTGGGGCTCGAAACAGGCTTCCATATAATGCACTGGAAGAAATCCACATCTTCATCCTTGCTAACATCCTCAGAAGGCCAGTCATTGTCCTTGCAGGTGAGTGGCCCAGACAGTCATCTCACATTACGGACCGTGTTACTCTGTGCTGTGTTAGTAGTCTTACTTTGCTCGTTGTTGTTTTCAGGTAGATGTGTTTCAGAACCCAGAGTTTTCAGCAATTATTCTAGAACACCCAGAATATGTTTGCTCTTGCCTGTAGCACATACTTATTTGTGTTTATTTGTTGGGCTTTTTTTCTTCCTTATGCAGATAAAGTGGTGAGAAGTTTAGAGTCAGGCTCCAGTTTTGCTCCTCTGAATGTTGGTGGTATTTACTTGCCTCTCCTTTGGCCAGCTGAAGAGTGCTACAGATACCCAATTGTGCTTGGCTACGACAATATGCATTTTACACCACTAGTAACTCTGAAGGACAGCGGGCCAGGTATTTTTCAATTACTTTGTTTGGTATTTACGTAGTTTCTTCAATATCATCATGCTGATAAAGCATTTAAAACATAATCTGATTTAGATTTGCATTTCAAAAGTTAAAATAAATTCCTTTGAAATATGTTCTTAAAATGTGAGCAGAAACAGCTTTGTCTGTAAATCTGAATAGAAACTAAAGATTGTCTTCAAAATGCCGGTTGAAAGTAGAGTACAACTCTTGCAGGCTGGGATCAGTCAAAGAGTGACCTCTGCTTCATTGTGTTCTGGCTTCCTTTCCATGCCTCATCATAAGAGAAGGAGCTCTGAAGGACGTGGTCTCACAGCAGTGTACGGCTAGCTGGCAGGGATAAGGAGATGTATGCTTTGCTGGTTTTAATGCATCTCTTCTGAGCGGATAGCAGTTCTCTAGGTTCAGGTTAGGGCATCATCCCATGGAAAGATATCATAAACTAAGGTCTACAATGCTGCCCACGCTGAGAAGAAAATTGCTATGGGGACATTAAAACTCCTGTGGGATGGGGCTAGGTTTGTGGTGCAGATATGTCTGTCCTCCCCCAGTGGCACTGTTTAGAAACCAGTTGCTCTTGCCAGCCATTCTTCTGTCTCTGAAATTCAGGAGCAGTGGTGACATCTCCATGTGTTGCCTCTGATGGTTACTCCTGCCTGGTAAAAAATATATATATGCTAATCTGTCTTGTTTTCCCACAGAAATCCGGGCTGTCCCTCTGGTCACCAGTGAGCGAGGCAGATTTGAGGACTTGAGTGTGCACTTTCTGACAGATGCGGAGGAGAGGGAGAAAGAGCAGCTGCTGAAAGACTACTTGATAGTGATAGAAATTCCAGTGCAAGGCTGGGATCATGGTACAACTCATCTAGTTAATGCTGCAAAGTGAGTGTTATTCCTCAAAGTTGTCTTGTTTACAGAGGTGGGAGAAGATAGGCAGCCCAGTGTGTTCCTTTGGTCTTTCCTTCTTTCCGTGGTAGCACAAGTGTTTACCCTCAGAAATATGAAATACTGGCATTACTGTTGACATGCTTTGGAGTGATATGAGCTCAGACCAGTCTCAAATATAAAGACAAAAATGTCTTCAGACTTAGCAGACTGAAACTAATATTTTAGAAGAGTAAACCCAATGGATTAGTTTCACTGACTTTGAGATTACCCAAGAGGGTTGCTGAGAAGTAGTTAAACCCAGGAACTAGTTAGACCAAACTCTTGCACTTTGTGTAAGGGCACATTGCATAAAGGGCGGCTGGTGTAATTTTGGCTGCCCTAGGGAAAGTACTTGGCGGTGTGTTCTTAGGGCAGATGCCTTGACACCCTGGGCTGCTGCAGGGCAGCAGTAGGCAGGAAGCTGTGGCCAGTGGAGGAACTGGTGTCTGCACTTGTCCACATGACGGTTGAGCGTCAGTAATGTGTAAGGGACAGCTGGTGGCACCCATAGGCCTCTCACATTTAGGGAACACTGGCAGCAGTGTCCACCCAGCCCCTTCACGAGTGTGGGAGGGAAGCAACTCCCTGTATCCTGTCTTTGCTTCCATTACCACATAGGGAGTGGTTGTTTTGAAGCCTTGAAAATTTAAGTCCTCCTATCCAAAGGATTTATGCATATGTGAAGAGTAGCAATCTAGCTTCCCTAGTCTCACTGCATGGATGTGTTCTTGAGTGTTACCAGTAATGCTAGCTCCTCATCCTTCCAGCTGTGGCCTGGCAGATATCCAGTGTGGGTTTTCCTTGTGGTCAGGGGCAGAGTAGGGATGGTGTGATAGATGCTAGTGTTACACACACTGTGCTGAAGCCCTGTAGTTTGTTTGAAGAATTCTGATGGTAGATACAGACCCAACAGGGCAAAACCAGGAGCAGATTTCACAATAAACTGTATCATGAAATGCTGAGCCCACTGTAGGAAAGGCTTGTTCTTAGTGTGGGCTGGTGAAGAGAGGGGTCTTCCATTCTAATCTCAGCTCAGCTGAGCACTGGTCTTCAGAGGAATTCAGGATTGGGGGGATTTTTCTTTTTACTTCTGAGAGATTATTCATATTCTTCCTGCAAACAGCTTTTGGATAGAAAACTCTCACTTAGAAAATCTTTTAAGAATGCTTGTGTTTAGCATTGTGTCAGACCATTTCTTTAGATGTGAAAGTCTCCATTTGACATTGCTGAACACCTGCTTTTAAAATGATTTCCATTTACAGCAGCAGTTTAGCATCCTAGATCTTCTAGCTGAGTAATATGGAAGTGCATTAAATCTACATTTCCTCTCCTCATTGCTTGTATTTGCCTCCACCCCCACCATCTGTCCTTTTCAACTACTGATGCAATCTTCCTTTTTCGGTTGTCAGGTTAGATGAAGACAACCTACCTAAAGAAATAAACCTTGTGGAAGATTACTTTCAGCTGGTACAGCATGAGTACAAGAAGTGGCAGGAGAACACTGAACCTGCTAGGAGAGAGACCTGCTCCAGGAACAGACAGGAACTGTCTTTTTCCCAGCTCTCCCTCTTACAAGTGAAATGTGAAACACCAAACTGCCCTTTCTACATGTCTGTGAACACCCAGCCCTACTGCCATGAGTGCTTTGAGCGGAGGTTTCAGGGAAGCAAAGGAAGAAAGCAGACCTCCAAAGCAGCACCTGAGAAACTGAAGGCAGCTGGGTCGGGCTCCTCTCGTGGGGACGTTTGTGAACCTGGGGGATGGACATCCGAAGAACCTGTAACAGGGCCTCGCTCTGCACCTCCCACTGCTCCGAGCCTTTTCCTATACAGCGAGACCACAGCCATGAAGTGCAGGACACCAGACTGCCCCTTTACATTGAACGTGCAACACAATGGGCTTTGTGAACGCTGCTACAACTCCAGACAGCTCGGTACTTGCAACAACATGGATGACCGGAGACATTTAGACTATGCCACATGCAAGGTGTGCTGTCAGAAGGCCAACAGGACCTTCAATGGCATATGTAGCACTTGCTTCAAAAGGACTACAGAGCGCTCCTCAAACGGCAGCCCCGCTTTCCAGCCCACGTGCCATCAGAGATCGACGTCTGACCCGTCACAGATCTCGCAGAGCCTCCTTCAGCACTCCTGCCATCAGGCTCCCAACAGCCATGGCGAGGAGCCCTCACCTCCAGCGCTGCCTCCCGAAGAGAAGAGGAGAGGTAACCTCTGCAGGAAACCTGGCTGCAAGTTTTTTGGGACATCGCAGAACGAGGGCTTTTGCACGCTGTGTTTCTTTGAGTATAGGGAAAACCACGGTAAGTGGAGATGGGGTGAGCTTCATCACACTTTGGCTGCAGATCGACCTCCTCGAGCTACGGAGCTCTGTGTGCACTGGGTGCTAAAAGGGCAGGGGGTGACAGAAGCAGCAGTCCAAGGCGAAGGTGCTTTTTTGGCTGTTACTGTCCTGTAAAGGGGCACACGGTAACAGTGTGGGAAATCTGCAAAATCTCTTGTAAAACTTCCCAGTGGCTTTCATGTAAGCAAAACTAGCTCAAGAGAGGGTGGGTTTTGATCCCTTCCCACCATCCACTGCAGTCATGGTTTGGTACAGATTTTCTTCACAGCTAGACAAGTTGTAGGAGTCAGGGAGGGAAATGCTATTGTATTGATGCTTCTGAAAACCAGCTGTGTTAGCAAGGCTTTTAGAAAGCTTGGGATGAATATGGAGATCCATATCCATTCTGGTTGTATCTGGAGTAACTACTGAAGTCACCTTGATAAGCAGAGCAAGTAGAATTTGACTGTAGATAATGTGGTTGTATTTTGGAGTAACTTAGGAGTGTATTGTTATAATCTACCTTGAAATCTTTCTTGGTAGTATCATGCACATGCACGTAAAGGCAGGCCTTCAGAAAGGTAATAGCCTGTGAATAAATCACAGCATGAGAGCTTCATCTTTAATGCTACTGCTCTGTTATACAGGCAAAGAGCCCTTGGGTGCAGGGTGAAAGGCACACGCAGGAGAGAATTACTGCTTAAGACCATTTCATTGCAGACAAGCGTGCCAGTGCTGCGCTTTCCACATCCTTTTAAATTAGGGAAGTTCTACATCACCTTGCAATAGCTTATTTTCCAGTGTTGTTCACAATGAAATTTTTTTCCTTCTGGTTGTGGAATATATAAGACTGCTGCATGAGACTAAAAAGTGTAAGGCACTTTTTCCCATTAAGCTCTGTGCGACTTGTTACTTCCATTACCCAATGTGCCTGAAATGGGGGAGGTTGAGAGGGAAGTGCTGGGATAGATCACGCATGACATGCTGAAGCCAAAGGTGAAATTCCTCTTGACTTCAGTGCAATCTGGTTTTCCCACCAAGGGCAGATTTTTCCCAAATCAGCTGTTTCAGCAACTTCCTATATGAAAATCAGGCTGTGTTATCTCCCTAATTTAGGTAACATGGAGGAAAGTGCATCAACTGAGGGGTCTCAGGATTGACCAAAACACATGTTTGAGTCTACTAGATTTTTTAAATTATTTTTATTTTGTATTTTTAAACCAGGGACCTTTTCACAGTTGCTTTGGGTCATCAGATCTATTGGGCACATTCAAACTCCTACTGTCCTTACTTTGCATTACAGACAGTGCTTTGCTACGCCACCAGAGGAGATCTCAGAAGTCCTCAGCAGCAGGTCAGCCAGGCACCTCTGCTGCTGCTTTCCGTAACACCGTGTCCTGCCAGCGGCGCGACTGCGGCACCCTGGGCAGCACCATGCTCGAGGGGTACTGCCAGAACTGCTTCATTAAAGCCCAGAGCCAGCGATTTCAGGAAGCCAGGAGGATGGAAGAACAGCTGGTGAGACAGCCAGAAGTAAGCATGAACTTCTCAAAATCTTCCTCTTGTTTAGCGCTGCACGTTTTTTCTCTTGTGTGAACAGCTCGGGCTGTGTACTAGAATATCCTCAAATGACTGCATCCTAAATATTGTGAAAAGACAAGCGTAGAGTATCTCATTATTTTTTCCTGCTGCAACTGAGCAGCACTCCTAAAAGGCATTCTCAGTTTAGGGTTAACCTGGCCATGTTCAGTTTTACCTAGGCTGGGATTTTGCCAGCAATTTCAAGAGAAGCAATTGGACTGACAGTTGGTTTCTTTTCTGATCAGGGAGAGATTTTCTTTCTTACCCTTAGAGCTATGCAACTGCATTAACGGATTTTGTCTGCTTCATGTTGCCTTTTTCATTGAGCCCATTACAGATTGTACTTAGTTCTGGATTTTTTTTTTATTGGCTTGGTTTGACCCTTTTGGAATTGAGAGTTACCAATGATAAAAGCCAATTTTTTTTCCTAAGAAATGACAGAATTTTGTTATTTTTTTCAGTAAAGCCCAAATTTACTCTTAGTATTGTACTTTTCATAAGAAGCATGTGTCTGCAAGAGCCCCCAGTGGTTACCTATGCAAACCATTAGCAGAGGTGAAAGTAAATGAAAAGCCACTTGTGCTGCCAGCACAGCAACTGACAATGTGTTTTAATGTTTTTCAAGAGAACGGGACAGCACAGAGATCTGCAGCGAGCAGCATTGAGTAGCCAGAAGAGACACTGTGCTGTGGCTTCATGTAGAAACAACCTGGCCTGCCAAAGCAATGACTTGTGCCCGGAGTGCCAGCGCCTCTCAGGGAGTGCCAGGGACCCAGCTGCCGAGGAGACGCCGAAGCAACGATGCCGAGCCCCTGCTTGTGATCACTATGGCAATGCCAAGTGCCACGGCTACTGCAATGAATGCTACCAGTTCAAACAGATCTATGGCTAGCAGAGGAGTTGGTAAAGAACAAGAAAGCCATACCAGCTACTTCCTTCACTGAAATGGTGCTATGTCCAAAACACTTAACAGTCCTGGGAGTGGGAGGGCGGAGGGAAATACAAGCTCTCTGCTCATGTTCCTGTTTATTCCCAAGAATGGGAATAGATACCTACTTCCTCTAAACACTGCATACAAGGACTGCTGAGAAGGGCAGGTTGCTTTCTGCACAGAGCTGTCGTTCATGACTAAGCTCTTACAATGCCATATTTAATTCTTGGACTTCCCAGGAGGAAGTATAAAGCATTTGAATCCAAAGAACTTCCCAGTTCTGCCTCTTTCTCAATACCTCCCCTCCTCCCCTGGGCGAGGAGTCGTGGCTGCTGTTGGAGATGCAGGAGCTCTTTGTGTTTGCATACATCAGTCAGAGACAAGTCTTGCCTGGGAGGGATCCCCCAGGACAAGCTGATGCAACTTGCAGTTGTGTCTGAAGAAGCTTGCTTTGGGTTGTGGGGTCCTTGCTGGTGTTCTTACAGAGCTCGTCAAGGCGGGAGCTCCTGCAGGTGTTCAGGGTGGTAACAATGAGCGGTTCTGTGTTTGCAGAGCCCTCAGCAAACCGCAGCCCGAAACAAGACCAGCAGTGGTCTCCTCCTTTAAGATGCTTAACCTAACCAGCATATAGTTCCTTTCCCAAATCCCAAGACAGCTGGAAAGGCAGGCAACTACAGAAGACTTTCATGAGCATATGAGTATGTTAGGAAAACTGAATCCTGCCATTCCCCACTCATATGGAAGGAATTGCCTCCAATAGACAGTAAAACCCCAAAGCCCTTTGTCTTCTGCTTCAGTTCTGAAGCCGGAGCAATTCTCTTCTCTTGCATCGTAACTGTCAGGAATATGTGTGCTGCTGTTTGTACCCCCACCCCGTTTCTGCCACACTTCTTTCTGTTATCCTCAGAGTCATTCTGTTATTGTGCAAACAGCTTGGAGTTCGGTAACGGAGTGTTTTAGGGTCGAGATTTTACTCCTGGAGTTCATGCATCCACTTTTCAATCTGCAATACTTCCTTTAGCGACCTTGCCTTTACCATTGTGCCTGGTAGCTGCTTCTCTCTTCTCCCTTCACACCTGTTAAGTTTTCAGCATCTTTTGCTGCTACAATTTTGGAGGTGATACCTCTTCTAAGTTGCTTCTCAAGTTTAGAGTCTTTTTCTAGTTATGAAAAAACAGTTTTTAAAAAGAAAAAAAAAAACAACTCATGACTTATTTCTGTTAAATTTTATATATTTTGTGAACCTTAATGTGAACATATGTTTTATTAAAGTATTTATATTATTTGAAACAATGCAACTTGAAATTTGCACAGCTATGATTTTTTTAATGTATATTTACTGTTGTGTTGAAAGTTACAAACTTAAATGTATAATTGACAAACATTCTCTGATATAAAGAAATAAATTATTGAAGGATTGACTTTGCTGTTTTATATTGATGAATGAGAGCACAGTTGAGCACGGGACACCTCCTGAAGAAAGCATTTTTGTTCACATTAGGAAGTGCTCACTGGTTCAGGTGATGTAGCCAAGTGCTTTGAAGAGGTGATAACTTGCTCTAAGTGTCTGCATACTCCCACCTTACATCACTGTCCTCTTGGGAACAGCTCTTGGTACCGTGGGAGACCGGTGCAGTCATTGTGCATAAAGAGTTGGCTCCTATGGGTGCAGAGTATCTTCAGTCCCCAGAACTATGTATGTGGGAAAGTAAGGATGGTCAGGACCAGGCTGCAAGAGAAGCTACGCTTAGACTGATTTGACTTTGCTTTCTTCATTCATCCATCGGTTATGCCAGGGATTCCTAGCTGGAATGCCACCTTGGGAGGTGGTGATATCAGGCAACGCATAATTCCCTCCTCTGCCCAGCCACGTGTGCATCCCCAAAGGCACAGGCCAGCCCTACCACCTCCCCTCACCAGGGGCAACAGGGAAGCCTCTCACCTTCTAGTCTTGGCATCTGGGTTGCTCCATAGCTCCTGAAAAGCAAGTTGCCAACTGCTACTTGAAAAAGTACTTGAAAATGGTGTTTTCATCTGATCCCAAGCTCAGTCTAACCCAGCCTCACTGCCAGGGGATTTCTGCACTGTAACGCTCCCTCGGTGTGGCCTGAGGATGCCTGTACTGGCACTCAGGTGTTCCAGATCTCTGCCTAGACAGGCAGTACCGTACGCTACCATGGCTTCTTGGAGTTGCCTGTGACCTGAAGGAAAAAAAATGAGTTGGGACGGCAAACATCCCTGTGCAGTCAGGAAAGATGACCCTTTCCTAAGGGGCTGACATCTCTGGATCAGCTGCTCTCTGTCCTGGTTAACTCTTTAATCCCTTCTGGCTGTTCAGGAACAAACCTCAGCATATGCTTCAGTGCTGCCCCAGTTGAAACCATGTAGATGTTAAGTTCCTGAGTACTTTTGCCACAGGCATTCTAGTCAGTGTTTCTGGATGCCTGCCCACCTTCCTTACGCTCACTGCTCTCCTTACACTTTAGCCCAGCTCCCTCTGGACCCATGTACCCTTGCTTTCACAGTGTACAACCTAGAAGTCATCCTAGTCCTCCCAGAGCAGAGCCTGTTGGATCTACCAACCCAATATGCACAGCATGCTCCTCTTTTTCAAAATCCAACTCTCTGTTTATCCGTACCCTCCTTCCCCTTTCTTTACAAGTCATGCAACTCACAGGCCCACCTGATTCATCAAACTTCTGCACCAGGCAGACATCTCGGTGCTGAAAGAGTGGGCAAAGACCAGGAGGGCTGTCTCCAGCAGGAGATGGAGGCAGCTCACAGCCACCAGCCTCGGTAACCATCGGCCCCCACGCACTGAAAAGGCAGAGCCTCCATAGTGACACCTTCAGCGTTGAGAGACCGGTTAACTCCAGTTGCTGCTAACTGCAACTGCTGCGCAGAGGAAGGATTTCAAATGAAATGCCCCAGATCCCACTGCTTTTTCTCTGCTGCTTTCTGGGCCCATTACTCATAACCCTAAAGTCACATGAGGCTTGTCTCATTCTGAAGCTCCCATGTAAATAAGTGCCCAACATGTCTCTTGTGATTTACTTGTGTGGGAACATTAAAGCTAGTAGGGCCTTTTTTTAAAAAAATACTCTGGTATTTCCCTAATGTCCTTAGGGGATTTTGACCCTCTGATGCTTTCTGCTCTCTGCCCAGACACCTCTTCAAGTTCATGTATTTTTTTTCTTCCTGTTCTGCAAGAGAGAAGTTTTATTTGGATTCTCCCTTTTTGTGACGACTTCTGGATGTCTCTTTGCTAAGATGCAAACCTTTCATAGACAGAGATTCTTTTCTTAGTAGAAAGAGAAAACTAATATAAAACAATTGGCTTAATGACTACTTGTGCTGCACTGGAATTCCTTGTAATATGGTGCAGGAAGGGATTGCTGCACGGGCTGTGCTTACACATTCGTTTTGTTTGGGGAAGGGACGCTTTTAAAAGATTACAGTAATTCCTGACTGGGAAGATGGATGATCTGAATATTATCTACGTTTCTGGATTTCTCAGGCATCTAACCACTATGTTAATTGATAACTTATGATACAGAAAAGAAGAAAGCACTTACTAAATTTTTAGTGTAGAGAGAATGTCAGTTTATCTTTTGATATTTCAGTGCTCTGCTCAGCAAGTCTTTGGTGTGATCTGAAGTACTAGGCCACTTAGCAGGGCTAGGAGCACCAAACAGCCTGGTCTCTGTTAGATCAAAACACTTACATCAAGCTACTGACCCCAGTGTGGACCTCAGGAGCCCCAGGCAGGACTCACAGTTTGCAGGGAAAGCAAGAATGGAAAGTCCCCACTGTTACAGCCTTAAGCGCAGGCTGCGAGGTTCTAGATCTACACAGAAGGTAAGGCATCCAATTTACAGCCTGTGATCCATGTGCCCATCCTTTCTTCCTGCACTTGTTCGGTCCCATCCCCCACAGTACTCCCCCTCACCCAGCAGAGCAGAAGAGAAGAGCTACCTGGAGATGGAGGGGACCGGTGGTCTGCAGTGCTGCTCCTTCGCTGCAGGCAGACCTTCAGGGGCAAACCACCTCTCTCTGAGGCAGCTATCGAGAAGTGGTTATTTAAGTAAGGATGTCTGATTTGATTAGCCATTCGTCAGTTGCTTGCCATGCAACTTGGTGTACAGATATCGGCTGACCCACCAACGGCCTACAGCAAGTAGGAGTGCAATAAATGGAAATGAAAAACATTTGTCAGAGTTAGTGTAAATGTAGGAGTGGCTTCATATCTACTTTTTATGTGCTTGATTCAATTGCAGGTGATAGCCATTTTGCCAACTGTCTTTTATCCTGATGTCCCTGTAAATGCTACAGACTGTACTAATCTATAGCACCCCATACCTCAGAAGTGTCTAAAATCAGTTAAATTGTCCATATCTGGCAGCAACAGCCTTTACACTGCCAGTGACAGGCATAGGAGAAAAGGTGGTTCAGAGATCAGGATACACTCAAAAAAAAGACCCCCATCATGAGCCCGAAGCTCTTGCGATATGCTAGGGTGTCTTTCCCACCTGGGACTGGGATACTCGACTCAAAGCTCATCTTCTGAGCCCTCTGTCAAGGAGGTAGTCCACCTACTGAAAAAAAAACCCCTTAACCTGCTCATCCCTAGCCATGTTTAGGAGGCAATGAGTGGGCAGGGATATCTCATAGGGCCAGATCTGGTAGTTCAGATGCCCAGGATGATGCTTTGTTTGAGAGTCCTGCTGAGACTCGGGCACCAGGAAGGCCTCTGAACAACTCTGCAGCACGGGAATGTGGACACAGGCTCACCAGAGAGATCCTCAGTACCTGGGGTTTTACTGACAGAGGGGCTGAAGGACTTCAGGCAGTATTTGAGGGGGCCTGTGAAGATTTCAGTAGTGTCTAGATGTTGGATATAAGTGTTTTGGATATAAATCTCCAAAATTCATGCTGAGCATAACCTCATGCACTTGGGCCGT